TGCTCTCATACGATACGTTTCTAAAGCGTCGAGACGTCTGAAGGTATCCAGGAATGCGGGCCATGCAGAGAGTTCTAAAGAGCTTTCACAATTTCGCGTGCATCCACCCTTAGAGGTTCCTTGCCTCTCGCGATTTCCTTCTTAGACCTCATCACCCGCATCTGTTCTTATCCTTTATATCATGTCAAGTCACCTTTATCACACACATTTACGGTATATCATAGAATGACGTCGAGAAGAGCAATTAGAATTTATATATTTGATGTGCATGGATTAATTTTTATAAATATTTATATTAATATAAAAAGAACATCGATATTAATATTGATAGGAAATGTAAATTTATATTATTCGAAATAAATCCTTCTTTTATTGAAACACGGAAAAAATTGCTGTTACAACAATATTCTCTATGTTTGGAAAAAAAATGCATGTAAATTTAAGTTATATTGATATGTTACATGGCATTCATCTGTTAAGGTATGCTCATCAGTACGGTTGTCACAACTGTAGTGCTTAGGATAAATAATTCAGTTAGAATATCTTCATATATGTGGTTGCCTCAACCGAAGCATTATTATTATCTCTCTGGTATGTATAACTCTCTAGTATGTAGGTCTGTATAACAAATAGTAGGTATGATTGAGAGATATATATGATATAGTTGCACGTCACAACATTGGCTGAGAGTTCAGTTAACTATATAAGTGACTTTCAAAGTATTTTAGTTCCTACAACCCTTCTAAATTGATGGGCGAAAATTATCACAATTATTAGGTTGTGGCAATAGTAATTTTTTTCCGTGAACTTAAAGAATAGCCACTTTTACGATAAAAGACCAAGAAAGTACAGTAAAATATAAATACGACATCATTCTCATTATTTTAACTCAATGCGAATATGTAGAAATTATTTTCTCCTGTGGACAGTTTTTATACACTTTTTGCCACACAATATTCTTCTTGCAATTAAAAACTGCTTTATTAGGAAACAAATTCTTTATTGAGATCGGTTTCTTCAAAACTTTATTAATTATCTACTTTTTTAAATCTTCAAATTCTCTTTCTTTTCTTTATATTATAAAACATTTTTATGATTCAGAAGATTATTCTATTTAATCGTGTACAAAAACTAAAAGACTATTTAAGCAAGATTTATTCAAAATACATAGGAGAGTAAAGTATTGTTATTTCGTGCTTCCTCGAAGCTTAATTCGTTGAAGACGTTTGATTCTTAGTTGTTGCCGACGCAAAACCGCATTACCGTAATAATTGCTATCCCTCTAAGTTCGCACTCTAATCTACAGTTCTGCAGAGAGCCTGTACTGCTAAACTTCTGCGAGAGAATGGATAACAGCTCCGCAATATCTCGTATTTATGGAGCGCCAGCATTATTAGACGAAACACGCGCGAGTACAGTCGATCTGGCTACTTCCTACTACACCTGTCGAGACCAAACGAGGATGCGCATGTTCGACCCGCGTATTTTTTAATCAGCACTATAGGCCCGATTAAGCGGAATCTGCTGGCTATTCCGACCGGTCAGCACTGTGCCGCGATGGGTGCTTACGCGACACGTTTGCGAAAATCATTGTCCATGCCAGATGGAGAGAACGTCTGGCGTACCGACCCGCAAAATCGCTCTTGCGTGAACTATAACACGCTGATTTTCGATAAACGTTATATATATGTATAATCAGAATGTTCAAATGTTGAGCTCATGTTCGTGCACGGAAAGAACAATTTTGCTGGATCCAGATCAGAAAATAATTTTTGTTCAATAATCAAAATAATTTTGCTGGAAAGTCAAAATGATTGTTAGAATATCAAAACGTTTTATAGCAATGCCTATTTTCATTTTTAACTTTCCAACAAATTATTTTGATTACTGAACAAAAATTATTTTCAGATCTGTATTCAGCAAAATTTTTAGACCTTTCAACAAAATCGTTCTTTCCGTGTGCAAACTTTGCCTCTTTCGTTAAATCATGTGCATATTTTTTTATAAAATATATACAATTTTATAAAAGATTAATTAGATTAATTTTTTGCATCCTAAAACAAATATGTTTTTTGTATTTTGCACAATTTGTTTTAATTTGTGTTAATCAAAATTGCGTAACTCTTCTTTAATTCGATTAAATAAAATGTACTTGACAACTTCACTTAGTTATTGCAACAAACATCCAAGGAATCCGACTGGATTGCGGATAATATTTCTATTCCACGATGGGAAGGTTCACACACGAGAGGTAAAGCAATGAGAAACTATATGACAAGGACACTTGTCGGTAGAATATCGCATAATTTCGCTCTTGTCCAACTTTATTTATACTCGCGTGTTAGCGCAAGTTAAAGGCTCGCCGCATTCGTTAGCGCGGGATGGAGGGGGGGGACGGAGGCCGCACTAATTAATGCGGCGATACTTGTCAGCGAATCAAAGCAACGGGGCTCTTCCGCGCGTTTGCATTCCTTGTACGCGTACCGCTCCTCGCTTCTTCCTTTTCCCTCGGCGGTGAGAGGAAGAGAGCGAAAGAGGTGGCGCAAGAGAGGGGGGAGGGGAGAACGGGCAGATAGAGTGCTAGAGGGTGAGGACATCTCATCCCTTAAGAGGAAGCCTTAATAGGATGCGCCGGCGGTTTGCCCTATACGCGCGATATTCTCTTCCCGCTATCGGGAAGGTGTTAGCTTCCGGATCCGTGCATTCGCAATTTGCATTAGCCGGAGCGAATTACGCGAAATTTATGCGAGCCGAGGATACGGCCGGGGTTGCCCTCGCTTAAGCGTATTCGAGGCCACTTAGGCGGCTGCTCCAGCGGCGGAGTCGCTCTACTTATGGCGCCGTGGACAGCTAATGTCCGCAACTATTTCTCTCTCGCCGTACAGCCCGCGCTCGCCGTCTTACGATATTATTCCACGAGCATTGTATCTTACCCACCGAGAAAGAGAGAGCGAGAGAGAGAGAGAGAGAGAGAGAGAGAAAGAGAGGGGAAGGAAGGACCGCACGTTTGCCAAACGACTATGTCGGCTCACGATTAATCGTCGACATCGCGTTCCGCTCGATGCCACTACGCGTGTAAGGCATCGCTTGGAGAAAGACGAGAACGTCGAGAACGCCGATAGAGAGATACCAGAATGTCTTCCTCGATGAATTCGGATAAAATCTTTCAGAAGTGAGAATTCAATCAGTGACGCGCGCACACACACGACTGTCTGACATTGGAAAATTTTTCGCGACACCGCGATTATCGCTTTTAAATGTGAGACACGTATACAACGCGAAACCGTGATTTTATCATAGTTTTCGCTTACATCTCTTGAGTTACAACAAATAGATCTAAGTCTTCTATTAAATTTAATAAAATACATATAGTTATCTTTTCGAATGTGATTTACCAGAACAGAGAAAGACCCCATTGGGTGACGTCAGACTTTTCGCTACTGATTATAAACGCAAAAGTGTAAATATCTCGCGTGCTATTTGATTTATATACGTGTTGACACTACTGAAATTTGGAAATGTCCGGGGTGTAAACGAAAACGGAAGAATTTTATTTTTTTCGATTAATCCAAAACAGGTTTTATTGCGACAAAAAAATTCCATTTCGAATCTGACAACAATCTAAATTGAGATTAACAAGTCGCGACAGACGCGCGTCCAATGAATTTATTTATTTCGGGGAAATAGGCAAGTTAATTTGTCTACGTGACTTTTTCGCGGGACGATTCAACGAAGGGGGCCTTTCGTTTAGTAATTGAACTAACTGTTCATACAATTGCGACACGTAGATGACGAATGATATGCCCCCGCTGTTGCGAATGAGAAACGAAATAACGTTTGACGCTAAATTAATGAAGTTTCAAACACACGAATAAAATTTCGCTCCCGAAATCGATGATACATAATACATCTCGAATCGAGATACATCTATGCAGCTATACCAATCGGTTTGATCAATCGACTCGCGGCATGCTCTTTCAATTATCTCGGTACGGGGCAGCTCCGATCGGACGTGAAAATTAATTGCTCGCGTGATGCACATTTGATCACGGCAATTTGTATCCTTTTTTTAATAACCATCCTTTTCCCGCGAAGCGACTCTTCCATCCGTAATAAACATATAATGTTGACAATCGTCAAGAATCGTCAAAAATCGTCCGTTTTAATGTTAAGGCATATTATAAAATGCAAGTAAACGAAGATTCTCAACACACACTAAGAAAAAAATTTTTGGTATTTGTGATTATATTTACAAAGTACTATAATTATGATTATTACTACTATAATGTCTTTGTATATTTACAAAGTACTATAATTATGATCATTACTATAATGTCGGTAATAATAGTTAGTAATAAATTATATGTATAGATTTACCAACAAATATACATAGATGTCATCAACCAATTTTAAAACGTACTATACATCATAGTTATTATTACCATAAAAATGGTTGTAATTATCATTATTTTACTATTAGCCATTTTTGAAGCCACTATTCTATGGGCCTGAAAATGACTATAAATTATAGTTAAATAATGATAATTGCAACCATTTTTATAGTAATTGTCACCATTTTTATGATATTAACTATAATGTAAAGTAAGTTTCAAAATTTGTTGATGTCAACTAATACATATTAGTTGACATAAAAATTAATAATTGTATGTATAGATTTATTACTAATATTAGTAATAATCATAATTATACTTCATAAATATAGTTACAAATACCAAAAATTTTTCTCTTAGTGCATACGCGACCGAATAATTTCACAAAGTTACAAAAATTATCGAATTACACGGGGATGAATTAATTGTTAGAAAATTTCGCGCACTTGAGACCGTATTCAATGGTACGCTCGTCCGTATTCAATAGTACGCTCGACCGTATTCAATAGTACCGCAATAGTTAAGGAGTTAGAAAGGTCAGAAACTTTAACTCGGGGACCTGATTGTGCGCTGTTAGAATTAATCCAGTAGAATGTGATGATTACTCACTTTCTTGCCGTCCAGTTCGTGATTGCCCTGCGCCAGCACTTTGTCTACGCTCGCAGGGTCGGCGAATGTGATGAATCCGAAGCCCCTGCAAACAAACGAAAGGAGGATGTTTAATATGAATGTGTGCTCGTCGCTCGGGACATTAATTAAGCAAGCATTTGCTGATAGTAATAGTATTTCCATCGTGCGGACGCGTATGCGAAGGTAGCAGCCGCACAGTGCAACGGCACACGTTGCAAGATACATATCTCGATGTGTAGCGCATACATCAAAGCGCCGCGATCGTAAAAAGAAAGCCGGTCGAGACTCATAATACATTTCCGTATAAATTCATTCCCGTATAAATCGTGAGATACGATAGTTTTAATTCTCCAAATGAGGTAATTTCCGCCCCTTTTTATTTCCGCGATTAAAAGTAGTAGTCATTAAAAGATAATTGATTACTGCCGCTTTTCTATTTTGGCGGATTAAAAATTACGCCAAGAGAATCATTTCGAAAAGAAGCTTCAAAATGCATGTGATATGTGTTTTATTTACAGTATCACGAACTATATCCACTGCAGTATTAAGTTAAGCTAAGATTAACGATGGATTAATTCCTTGTATTGCCTCTATACAACAATCAATCAATATTTTATATTCCAGTTATATAGAACACATATACATATACTAGTTACAGAAATGACAGTGAATCGACATTGGAAAAATTATCTTGTGCTATCTATGATTATAATTATCATAGAATGAGAATTTAATAATACTTTTAGATTTATTCAGTAAAATTGTTCTTTCCTTGTATCTAAGAAATATTATTGTCAAATGTTATCATTTTAACACGGAAAGAACGATTTTGCTGGATAACAGATTTGAAAATAATTCTTGTTGGACCATCAAAATAATTTTGTTGGAAAGTCAAACTAAATATTTCTAAAATATTATTTAAAACGTTTTATAGCAATGCTTATCATTTTGACTTTCCAACAAGAATTATTTTCAGATCTGTATCCAGCAAAATTTTTAGACCTTCCAACAAAATCGTTCTTTCCGTGTTAAAATGATAACATTTGACAATAATGTTTCTTAGGTATAAAAAGAAAAAATTAGGCGCTCAACGATATGGTTGCTAATTTATCAGGAACCTATGCAAATTCGTAGAAGCCGCCGGCGACATTAAAAACTACCGGGATGAAAGCGAAATGAATATCGGGGCCCTAGGTGCGGTGTCCGCTGTGTCATAAATTTCACACGGGACATCGTGTACACACGGATATATTAAAAGACAGTTCGACGCCGTGAGCTAAGGGGGTGGATGCCGCCGGCCGATCCACGAACAAGGGATGAGCGATACGACGATACGAGGGAATGCAACGCGCCCGAGTGCCGGACGCAAAGCGGTTTGCATTTTTCATGCCGGGGCCGCCCCGGCAGTTATTGAAAATATTTACATGTTATTTATGGGGCACACATGCTTCAAGAACCAAACGCGCCACCGAGCTGCTCCTCCTCTCCCCCGGTCGATTCTCCCCGTGTGTTTTCTCTCTCTCTCTCTCTCTCTCTCTCTCTCTCTCTCTCTCTCTCTCCCTCTCCCTCTCCCTCCCTTTCTCTCACACACTTTCTCTCTCCTCGTCCACCTTTTGCACGCAAAACCCTTTCTTTTCCACCTCCTTTCCTACTACCTCCCTTTTTCTGTTTCGTCGTTCCCTGCGGAACGGCGTATTCCATCGCCCCTCTCTCTTTCTCTCAACTCCTTCATCCGCTCCTTCATCCGAGAAGCAACCCCCCGGACCTGCCGGCAACGTCTCGAGAATTCTACAAAACGTTTCACGCTTCTCTTACTGCTTCCGTTTCCTTCCCGCTGACGAAACAACGAATACTCGTATGGATTGAATTTTTGATGGAACCGACCCCTCCGGGCCCTCCGACTCACCCTCTGCTTCAACCGTCCGCGCTTTCCCGTAGCGCCCGCGATGTTCAGCGATTCTCGCGCGTTTCTCGAGTGCGAGCTACAGCACACGGAGCCATCGGCGACGACTTCCTCCGATATCGATTTCTTCGGGCACGCGATACCATCTCGGGCACGAAGTCGACGAGGACGACGAGGAGGGTTCGCTACCTAAAGAAAAGCAGCGGCGCAACGCCGCGTACACTCTTGCGTACGCGAAATCGGAAGGTAGTCGATTGTTATTCCGCGTCAGTAACGCTCGGAAAAGGGCACAATACAACCGTCCCCGTGTTTTCCACGTGACGTTAGGGAGAAAAAAAAGAGCTAGTTTCACTCCTCGTTCATTTTATAACAGCGAATTGCAACAGCGACCACAGTTATTGCAATACCGCTGTGTCAACACACACGACACGTACACGCGAATATACGGAGATTGTTCTCCCCGACAAAAATTTTGCCGTTCGCCGTATTCTTTCCGCAATTTTCTTAATTCTCAATTAAAATTAATAATTCCATGAATATATAAATGTCTCTCTGGATGAAATCATCAAATCGTGCACTACTGGCCTCAATATAGGTACGCAAGACATCCCGGGATTTTGCAAGCGCAATTTTTTATCTATTGATTCTATGGGCCAATTTAAAGTCGATTTTTCTTTGGCTACAATATTGAGAGTGATTGCACAAGTTTTTCAATATTTCCAATATTAAATATCTTTTTAATACTGCCGATTGGCTAAAAAATCGACGAAAAGCCACCAATATATACAATACACGTCCCGATTCATAGCGTCCGCGCGATGCCGTCCGATGGCATTAGCGAGCTCGCGATTTGCTCATGCGGCTACGACGGCTATATACGTGCCGAATTTCGGGGAGGTTTTTCACAGTACGCACGGCCGAAGCGACAATCGTGGCAAACGAACGGCCGCTGAATCGGCAGTCGTCCAATCAGCATTAAAACGCCAAACAACACGAGCGAGAACACCACGGGCAGTTCGCATTTGCATACAACGAAACGAGAGTTCGTCCGGACGTTCTCTTTCTCTCTCTCTCTCTCTCCCGCCCTCCCTCTCTCTCTCTCACCCTGCCGCACTCTCTTTTACGACATCGCATTTATGACGATGTGCGCGCAATGTACCGAAATCATGAACAACGGTCTCGGAAAGCCGCGCGAATAATTCATCCTTTTTCCGCCGAGAATCACACCGGAATTTCATTAGAATTTACAGGTTTCAATAATCGCTAGAAGATCATTGATTGGATTAATCGTGTATAATGATATAGCATAAACTGTGCGCAGCCAAATATGTATAAAACGGTTTTTGATCGATCGATCGCATAAATATTTAATGATCCCATACAAGATGTAAGTTTTTACATAAAGTCATTTTATGTAAAGCTTTTTATATTGTATAGAAGAAAAACTCATGAAATACTTGTCGCGTTTACTCACTTATCATGAAATAGGTATAACGTTTCGCTATATTAAATAAAATACAAATAATTGTAAAAATACAAATCGTAAATTGTTCTTTGTGCCGAAAGATTAAAATTGTGTCGCACATTTTTCCTGTGAGAATTTTACGGAGTGTAATATATCGCAAACATCGTTGGACTTAATTGAAAAGAAAAGAATTAAATTTAAATTTAAAAGAAAAGAAAGCATAGATTGCTTAGTGAGTAGCTTGCTACTGCGTGCAATCTTCATTCCGCATTCCCGCGACTAAACTCGGCTGCTGGACTCGCGGCGATTCGATCTTAATTTACGGTAATTATTTGCAACGCGAAGAACGCGGAAGAAAAAAAATCGGTATCACGGCGAGTTACCAATCTTACGGCGGAGGAGTCGAGGGCCACTCGAGAGTCATCCGCCCCGGGATAAAGGAGGGATCTATCGCGTGGACCCAACGCGCGCCATCGAGGCCCCGCCACCGCGCGCCACTCGTCACCCCCGGCCATTGTACGTGAATAATCTATAAAAGGCTGAGTAGAAGGATGGCGGCTGACGTGTCCCTTGTCTACTTGAGCACGGTTTCCACGATCCTCTACTTTTCATCCTGCCCCCCTCCTTCTCCTGTCGTCCCCCTTTCCCGTCCTCCGTCGCTCGACCACGGACGCTTCCCTCTCGCGCTACCTCCGCCGACTTAACCCGCCCTCCGGTCTCATCGCCCTTTTCGCATGCCTCCCCGTCCCGGCTGCGGAAGGGTGTCACATCGGGCTGACGCGGTGCATTTGTTTGTCACGGTCTTTCTCTTGCCCCGCCGCAGGATCGCAGGAGCGTCTCTCCTCTCGGTATACGCGAGGGCATCTCAAACGCGTGCCGCGAAGAAAAAAACATCCCAGCTCCAAAATCACTTCAGGATAACGCGGCGCGTCGTGAAGCGCCGCAGAAGAATTCGATAAGGTAAGAGTTTGATGAAAAGTCGTAACGATATCCGAATTTACGTGAGGATTCATCGATGATTGAAAGTTTCGCCGGGAATTGCGGGCTCCGTTAAAATAAAGGAGTAACTGCAGAATAAACTTCAAAGGGTAACTCCAATACTCGTGAAGTTATAGTTTCGAGCTAGCCGTTTTACTAAATGGAATATTACGCGTATCTCTCTGACACAAAATAAATCATTGAAGCGTGAAAGATTCTGTTAGCAATTCCAAGTATTTCTCTTTTATAATAATCCTAAAAATATTCTATACGCAAATATAGGGAATTTTTACAATCAATAATTTGCTCGTGAACGTTTTTATTAAATTAATCAATTGCTAAGTTTTCCGTGGAGTGTTGCAATTAAGATGCGAAAATGCCAACACGATACAAAGCTTGGTGCTTGATAAATTCACATATTATTATAATATCATTAAGCATCAAGATCCGCTTTGTACGTTTTGGCATTTTCGTATCTTAATTAATCAAAGGCATTTGATGTAGAACTCAAAATTTAAATTCATTATTTTCTTAAAGAAAAGTTGTTTACTATTTAATGCAATAAAATAAAGGACTAATAAAGAAATATTTATAATACTTAAGATATACATATATATCGTTTGAATAAGATTAATTATCTGCAAAAAAGAATGGCTTGCTATATTAAATTTTGAGAAAACGAATTATTATCAAGCTTTATCTGCCATTTGTAATCGAA